TGCAAGTCCAGGTTACCAGAAGACCTGGATTTATAAAAGCCCAGGCTGCTGCACAGGGAAATAGAATAACCACGGGTGTTTCTGCTGGTCACCCAATAGTAACAGTCATGGCAATGGACAGCAAGGACTGGAAGTGACTGTCAAGTAATGAGGTAACACTGAATGAACGAGACTCCTGTGGCAAAGAAATGGTCCTGGAAATCAATAATGAGCTATGGATTTTGTACTGTGACAATGGCGTGATAATTCAGTCCTAACTAAAGGTTCCAGTTCAATTTTAACTGGGATCACTCATTTTACTGCAGAGTAGTAGGTGGTTTTTTGAACATTTGCTGTTACTTGTTTACTATATTAAATTATAAAACTGAGCAGTTTAATTGCATGTATCAAACTGCTGCTGTTAAGGGTTGTATCACAGAAAAAGCTGACAGATTGATAATTAATGACAGTGAAGCACAACAATAGGATCAACAAAAGTGAATTAACATGCGTTGATTTCTGTGTGAAAGAGAAAATTACACTGTAATTTAGGGTACTTCAGACTGGCACTTAAAACACAGAGAATTCTTTGGTCTTGACTATAATGTAACTATTTCTTTTGAGAGTGGAAAGGAGAAAATTTACATGGCTGATGTCTATTTTAATGAGGCTTGCATCATTTTCTTGTTCAAGCTCTTAGGCTTATATATCTTTTCAGTTCAAAGACAGCTCACTTGACAGCTCAAGTGTTGAATAAGTTTTCCACAAACTAACTTTGATAACCAGAATTTTTCATGAATCCAGAAGGTGTTCCTGCTGTACTGCCATCCTGCAAGTCCTCTCTTCAGATCAATGAAATCAAGTCTCAGCTGCAAAGTCACGCATCTGCTTACTGGATGCTTGCTGCTGTCATTATACAAGAGTTACCTACCAACTAATTTCCAGATTGTACTGATCATTCTGTTCCATAAAACTGAACAAAGAGGGTCAGGAAACTGGGATAGTAGAGTAGGTACTCTGTTTATCAGACTGACAAAATTAGCAGAGAATATAAAGATATACTTAAAAATACATGCAATCTTTATGCAAATCACTATGCAGCTTCAAAAATTTATGTACAAGACACATAATATTTGTGCAGATGCAATCTGCTCCAGGTGTTGAAAGGAAGTTTGGATTTGTTCCTTATTCATGCATATAAATGGTTTCATAAACTGTATGCAGTCCTTAAGCAACAAATTTTCTTCATGGTATTAACAAAAGATAATCAGATGTGATCTGAAACATATCTAACTTTTTTAATAAGTTGCAGCATGTCAGAAAAGCACAGTCCTTTTTTGTGCACAATGTCATTCTGACTTTGAAAATCACCAAATGAAACAGACCAATTTTGCCATCTGGAAATTAGACTTCCCATCAAAATCTACTTTACATTGATTAAGGTATTCACCATTATATTTGACTACCTTTTACAGTTCTGCCCATAAAGGAAAAAAATCCAATAGCACTTTGACAAGATGTTTTAAAGGATTTATTGTAGTAAATTAATCTAGCTAATCCAGTATCCTACCCCTAGCAGTGGCTAGGGCTTCAAAATATAACTTCTGATTTGTACCTGCTCAGACAGTGAGTGTTATTTCTCAGCTTCATGGAGATCTGTCACCTGCCTTTTCAAACAGTCTTGCCATGTTATACTCAGATGCCAAAGTTATCTTTTCTATTCTTCTAGAATTTAATAGTTTTCATTATTTATTCCCTTTCCATGTCAATCTAAAGGAGCAGCTGCTCACTGTTACACAACAAATGAAACAAGAAGTAGTTATCTTGTTATCTGATTATATCAACTCTGTGTTAATATGCAATTTGAGTAATAACTCTCTGCATTAAATCCACTAAAGGCAAGGGAAATGTTCACTAGAGTGTTGATTGAATATTGCAACAGGTGACTCCTGTAAGGAGCATTTGGTGCTAATTGCAGAGTCATGGAACTACCAGGCTTAAGTACAACATAAAGTTAGGCAGACCTGAGTGACAAAAAGAAGTCTGTCAAAAATAGAGAAACTTTCTGTAAAAGCAAGGGATGGAATTCTGTCTCTTTTTCAGAATAAAGAATAAAAACTAACATAATCATTCAGTTTATTGCAACAAAATTTCTATCACATTTTTCCTTTTGGAAGAATTAAATTCATTTTATAACTGTTAAAGATGACATGCAGTGCTATTGGCTAGATAAGTTTTAGCAGTAGAACTTTTTAAAATGGTGAAGAAAAGTATATTGTACAGATCATTCTACTGAAAATTCTAAGAATTAACCAAATCCAGTAATATTCAGCTTTTTACATGACAAAATATAAATATCTGAATGATGAAGTAGTCCTGTGGTATGTTGCCCTCATAAGGAAAGATGTGAATTGAGTTCTCACCTGGTTTGAGTCTAGGCTTATTTGGAGGCAGAGGGGGTTTTATTGATTTTTTTTCCTTTGTTAAGTGATTTAATACATATACAAACACATATATTCTGTATGTAAGCAGCTGCATTTCCATTCTATTTAACGACAGTTAAATATATACTTGTTTGCTTTTTACTGCTCCTTCCATTATTCTCAAACCACAACTGAAAGCAAGCCCACTTCATTATCCAGAATTAGCATGTCCCCAGACAGGTAGTCTTGCTACCTATGAATAACTTTTAAATAATTAAACAAGATAAAATGAACCAGCCTGGAGCAAGCTGCAGATAAGGTCCTCAGCTCCATCACAACCTAATGAGAAAAATGTACTGAGAGCAGTCTCAGGCTAGTGGTAGTGGCGTATGTCTGACTGCCGAGCCTCAGCAATGCCAATATCAGCCTGTGTAATGAATATGTATTCCTTGCTGCATTCCAAGCAGCCTCATTGGCAAGAATTAAGGAATCCTTAGATCTTGAGAGACTTTTCCTATTACAAACTCTATAATAATCTTGAGCAATATCTTATTACATACAGACACTACTGAAACGATCAATATGAAACAACTTCAACTGGTTTTGAAGAAGTAGCCAAGAACAGACTTGCTTCTTTCTGCTTCAATGACTAGTAAAGACTTATGCTGGGTTTTGGAGAAAAATATTCTGAGATTTCAGAAGGGGCAGCTGATAAAATGTCTCAGTTTCCTAAAGGACAAAGAAGATGGTTTTGCTTGAGCCCATTTATCTTCTCCCAAAGAAAACAGTTTAGGAATTCTTTGTGGGCCATTAAGAGTGTCCAAGATACCTAGAACCCTAAACAATAGTCATGATGGCATGCCACAATACTGCAGCCACTAATTCCTTTTAAAAAGGGGTAGTGTATAATTCCATCTTATTGATTACAGTCTACAGCAATCTGCCCTTCTTTCTGCTGTATCTTGCTGCCTACCTCTTACAAAGCAATCTGACCCTAGAGAGGGGTGGGACCCAACATAGATAATAAAGCTGTGCAGGGTGACTACACTGTGATGCCAAAGAACATGGTGCTTCAGTCACTGGACACTGTGGAGAAAGAGTCTTTGATCTTTCTGCCTGAAAGGTACAAGCAGGGTTGAGGATGCCTGAGGGCTCTCTGGTGAGATGAGGCGTGTGCAAGGTTGCATGCACAGAGCTGTTTGCTCAGTGAGGGAGTGCGGTCATTCTTGTGTCACATAAATTGTGGTGCACACAGCACCACGTCATGCTAACTGCTGCTTATATTTCACTGAACCATGGGCAAAGAAAGGATGCTCAGAGGAAAGAATTTTTCTTTCTGAGACATTTGGAAGTACACAGTTTCTGCTAGTCTCTGAAAGGTCAACTAGAACTTGCATAATATTCCTAATTTTCGTGTTTTCAGCTCAATCTCCAAAATTACTGCTGTAGTTCTACTTTCAGATGAAATACAGACAGAGCTCCCAAAGGACAGCCCTCATGCCATTTTCAGCCTGCATTCATCACCCACAATGGTGTTTTGTAGTTGTAGTGTGTTATTTACCTGAGGTGCTGTGTCCCAGGTGAAGGCCTTCATACAGTCACTAGCATTATTGTCCATTCTTTCAATGGCATTCTAAGTAGGAACAGCCTCCCATGAAAAACTTCCAGGATCACTGAAGTGAAAACACACTGTTGAGGAGGCAATACATGCAGTCATAGCAACCAGTCAGCTTATGGTCAGTTCACAAATGTTAAATGCTAAGTATGAATTTAATATATTGGAAATTGATTTTAATTCCTTTGAACCTGGGTGAGTTGTATTACTGAGTTTCTCCACTGCATGCCTTGAAGCTCTGTATTAGCATCAGTACTGCTCTTAAAAATCTAATGCTCGCTTCAAAGTTTCCAGTTCAGATCTAAAATAGAAAGAAAAGAAGGCACCAAAATCCTTCACAGTTATTCTCTTTGTATGGAAAAATATAATAGCTCCCATTACACTGTTCCTTGTGAAGGTGAATAGACCTTTTAACAGGGTGGATTGTGTTTTTGCAAGCTGAAGTGGATATGTACTGGTGGCTTTGCTGCAGAGCCCTCTAACAGAGAAGAGAAACAAAGGATTTACTCTCATTCTCCCTGATCAAAGTTTGAAGTGGAGCCTCATCCCCATTTTTGCACACATCAAATAAACTAGACAGGTAGTACTGCAGCCTGCTTGGTGGTCAGTAATTTTCATGTGTCAGGTGCCTTTATATAATCCCTGTCAGTTCAGTTCATCTAAGTCACAATTTGTATTACTACCTACTGTGCCAATTGCATACTCTTAGACACTTGTATTAGCATTCTTCAGTCCCAGTCTAAAGTATCCCACTGTTCCTGTTGCAAAGCTTAGACAGAAAGGTGCCAAACAGTGTGGCATTCACTTAATGAGATTGCAGTTCTTGACTTGAATTGAACAGTGTGGAGTCTTAAGAAGGAAAAGAGCTTGTATTATTCTCTTAAAACACGTGTGTATATGCATCTGTATGTGTGCACACAGACTTGTATTACAACTCATAATAATTCCATGCCACTAATCTGCTTGCCTGTTCTTTCCTATAGCCCAGATGATTTACTGAATGCACTGAATGAGGGTATCAGCCGTGCTGATGTGATCATTACATCAGGAGGTGTATCCATGGGGGAAAAGGTATGCAAAATTTAAGTTTGACTTCCTACAATAAATGTAAGAATTTCAAACCAGAGTCTGTCATCCAAGCTACTACCTTTGTATTAAGGTTTATTAAAAAGGGACCTTACTTTTATTGGAGCACTTACATGTGAATTACTTAAGAAAATAGTCTTCAAAGCTCATTCCCTTTGTTCTTGTTTTTCTACTATAGTTGATATAGTGCAACAGAGAAGCTTTTAATTCTTGATGTGAGTGATTTACAAATGTGTTTTTATTTAAGGAATGATTTATGTAGATGAGGAAGGTACTGAGGTAGGTTAATAGCAAATGAAGACTACAGACTTCTTTTTATTTTTAGAGCAGGTAAAATGTAGATAGAATTAAGGTACTTTGAAAAGCAACCTGAGTATATAAATAGCATTTTTTTACTCAGCACATTTGTTTCCTGAATGTGCCAAAGCTCTATCTGTTACAAAAATAGTTTTATCACGTTTTGCGCCTGATAGTCCTACAGACAATACATATGAGACCCAGTGAGCTGATATATTTGCCTTTTGAATCATTAACAGAATTGTTGATTGAGTTCCTGTTGATTATCCCTGTGCCAAAACCATCAAAGAAAATAGGGATACACAGATGCTGGTGGGGCATAGATGAACCTGCAGGACATTTATTAATCATGACTTATGCGAAGGAAAACTCAAATTACTTTTTGATCCCAGGCTGAATCTGTGAGTTTGGCAGGTAAAATAAACATCTTTTATAACTAACAGATACTAAAGACGGTCATTAGGAGGTGGGAAACATGAGTGCTGGTTTTGTTTACCTTTCTGAGTAGAGATCATATCTTTGGATACATAATGAAAATGGATAATTAATTAAACCAGTGCAAATAACTTTCAATTACTCCCATTGTCTCCAGTATACCTAGAAAAATAATCAAGGACAAGTACTGATCTTTAAATTGAGAATGTGACAACATAGTGCAGACACAGTATCACTAAGAAGCGGCTGGGCTGCTGGATGGTCTTACAGACATTCAGACCTTCGGCTCATTTCTCCCCAGCCTGAATTTGAGGCAACAGCCTAAAGTCAATAGACTCTACATTCCACTGATGGTCTGCCCTCTGATACTGAGCTTTCTACAACTTTAATGAAATAGCTGTGAACATCCAGGTAGCAAACAGAAAGTAAAAGAGAGGTTAATACAATTAATAATTGAGAGTTAATGCCTGGCTGAAATGAGTTGCTGCTTTCCAAGTATTTGAACCCACACAAGCAACAAAAAAAAAAGGGCCAACTGCCAGGGAGTTTCATATTTACTGCTTTCAAAGTCTGTCTTCACAGATGATTGTTGTGGCCCATGTCTTTAGCCTCACTAAACACAACGGATAGGGTACTACATCTTCAGGCACAGCAATCGTCAGTAATTGTTTGAACAATTCCATTTGTTTTAATAACTGGATCAATCATGTTTATGCAAAATCATTTAACTTGAACTCATCCACAAGCCCCTCCAAGTTTTTTTCTTTCTAAGGAATGCTAAACCCAACCACTGTGAATTAGACCATTAGACCCAAGATATTACAATAATGACAGTATCATGGAAAACTATGATTTCTACAGTACAGTGTTGCATTCCAAAGTAGTAGGAGATCTCTGAATCTACAACTAGATCACTTCCATGGCAAAATTTAAATAACTTGATTATTTAAAGTCTTAACTTTGAATTGTAAAGGTTGTTTTCCACCTTTGACATAGAGAATGTTTTAGTAGTAGGTATTTGTGGGGTTCTCTAAGATTCTGATGCTGCAGATGCATTTTAAGGAAATATAGTCAGGTTTGGCACCTAAATGAGCCTGTTCTTTACTTCTTCTCTTCCAAAACACTTTCTTTCAAATACTGGAAATTCCCCACTGGGCTGTAGCACTTTCAGGATATGCAAATTTTCATCTTCTCTTGATATTAATTAATTGCTTCAAATGCTTAGATGATGTAAAGCCACTTTGATGTTACTTAATTTATTTTTTTTTTAATTAAACAGGACTATCTTAAACAGGTGCTGGATATTGATCTTCACGCACAGATTCACTTTGGCAGAGTTTTTATGAAACCTGGGTAAGAAATCTTTCTGCTTAGGCAGCCTAGATGGAGGCTACATTGGGCCAAATATCCTAGTGAAGTGCTTCAGTAGATTCACTTTTCCAAATGTACTATAAACCACAAGATAGATATATGTGGGAAAAGCAGCAAAATCAATGTTCTTCAGATTAGTCATCATCTTTAGGGGTGAAATTAACTGGAACAGAGAGATTATTTTTTATCAGTAAGAGATATTTCTCTGATAACTGTTGCAAATTAGGTTTGGGGACTGGTGGGAAACCAGCATGGTATAAAACATTGCCACAGCCTTCAGTGTGATCACAGAGCTCACATTAACATTACCATGAATAACCAGGAAATATAAGGACATTAAATGGACAGTTTGCTTAAAGAGTATCTCATTTCACTTCAAAATTTGCATAAACTATATTCCTACAAGCAGTTCCTTGGGAGAGGTGGAATGACAGCTAATTTACAAAGCTTTGTCTAACTGGCATATTGAGCATAGTAGTTTTAAAGTAAGCAGAGTCCTTTATGTGTTTAGTTTGCCTCAGAAAACTGTTTCAGCATTGCTTTTCTACACTGTGATGCTGCTCATCAGTGAGTCTGCAAGTGTGCTCTGTAGAGAGAATGAAAATCACACATGTTGAAAACTGAGAGTTCCCTTTTCTACACAGTACAGGAACAGAAAGATGTCTGCACCTCTGCCTCTCTTCCTGTGGAGGGCATTTGGTTTGCAAGCTGGGTCAGAATGGTGCAGCTACACAAGATCAAGCACAGCTTTGCAGAATGATTCCTTCTAGCCCAGAACTGCTGTCACAGAGCAGAGCTGCAAGTGGGTGTTTGCTGTGAAAACAGACAAATACTTTTACTGTCTCTGCACACAGTCTGGTAAAGAACTGCGTGTGGGCTTAGTGCTTGTGCTGCTCCTACCACCACCTCCTTTCCACAAAAGGAATGAGTGAGCTAAAAGCTTGTTTTTTTCCCCGTGGTGGATGTAGCCCAGGCATGGAAATTGCTCACTGCTTCTGTCATACTGCTACAACTGATGTGGGGAAGTCCCAGAAGCAGAATCTGCACTACTGACAAGGGATAACTCGATTTAGAGAATTCAGAGTATTAAATTCTGGTTCTGGCTTACTCGTAAGCAAACATAATTTTTTCTTCTGGTGAGTCCTCTGTAGACCTACATCAATAAACTTTTAATAACTAGCTGGAAAAATTTCAAGAAATGGGTTTTTTCCCTAAATGTCCCTTTTCATTTTATACCACAAGAAAGGTATTTCTTACTGCTGCCAAAACATTTGCTTATCTGTTCTTACTGAGAATGTAAGCACTCTCTTTTTCATTAGCTGTAGTGCAATAGCAAATACCGTATCTTGGGTTTTATTAACTGCTTCTTAAAAGATTGTAGATTGTGCTTACTATATTGGGAAAAAATCTCTTGAGTAAGTTCCAAGAGTGAAGTCAGAATTTTTTGTATGCCTGTATTTGATGTGCTTCATGAGTGCAGGGTAGTGCCTGGGATTTAGCATCCCTCCACTTGGTCTGAAAGTTGCTGAGCTCATGTAAGGTTATCTTGTCTAGCCACACTGAGAGAAAAAAGTACTGGAAGATTCTGACAATGATGGTGTTGAAATGTCATACAAGAATTCAGAGTTTCCAGTAGATAGGAATTAACAATTAAATTTTTTGTCCATTGGTTTGTGCACTGGTTATAACAGCTGAAGGACTGGCACATAATTCCCATCATGTTAGAGCCATTTTAAAACAGGAATGTCAAACACTAACTTCTCCTGGTAAAATAGGATATTGATGAGTCAGTATAGTTACAAAACTAGGTGATAATGATCGAAGTGCAGCAAATCTCCAGTTGTAAACTATCATCTGCTGACCAGGTGCTAGTAGTCAGCTCAACATAAAGCCAAGGAAACCAGCCTAATTATTGCTCCTATAAGGTATAATTTCTGATGTTTGAAAAGATGATATTAACATACAATTCTCTTTTCATGAATGAATCCCTTTCCTTTGCCAGCCACATTCTTGAGCTGTCACATTACCATCCTATTTGTGTAACAGTAATAGCCCTCACAGCAAGTCACCAAGGATCACTCAGCAGCTCCCAAAGTCAGAGAGAGCTCTTCATTGATAGACCAGGGAGTCACTTGGCTGCAGCTCTGCTGTGTATCTGAACTTGTTCATCTGCAGACTAGCTAGCATTTGCTGCTCAGAAATACTGCTCTCTTGCCAGTACTGCTTTAGAGACTGGAGTAAGAGAATTAGAGTCACCAATGTTGTAAAAAATTGGAAACCCTTACATGAAAAACAAACACAGCTCTGTAATTGCATCATTCCAGTATTAGTTCATTGTTAATTGGCTCCTAGCATGAAGATTTAAATTTTTGATTACTAGTTCATTTCCTTTTAGCTATTTCCTCTCCAAATTTGTGTACTTAAAACTTCAGAATTGAATATCCAGAAAAATTATTCTGCCACCACAAAGAGAAGATTATACCTCCAGTATGGAATAAGCAGCAGGTGCTGATGAACTGCTGAGAGAGAGATGCCCTGTTTTGTTTCCTTTTCCAAATGTTTTAAATAATACAATAATGTTCAGTCAAATTCTAATGCAGATATTAAATAACTTTCTTTTTCCACAGCCTGCCAACAACCTTTGCAACTCTGGATATTGACGGCGTAAGAAAAATAATCTTTGCGCTCCCAGGTAAGACGTTTTGTGGATTACTTTTGTTGCTGTGCATAGATGACAGACATGAAACAGAATAGTGACACTTGACAGCATCTGTGCCTGATGTTGTCCCCTAAGGAAGGTACATGTAAGATTTTCTAGAAATTTCCAGAAGACTTACAGGGATGTGCTAAGGAGTTCTTTTTGTCCCCGTCCTCAGAATTTTCTAGTACAGGTGTTAGGATTTCTTCCATCCAACAATTTGCTTACGTTTTTCACAGGGGTGTTTTTCCCTACAGCTCCCTGCACCTTCACCATAAATATCCTGTGGGTGTGAGTCAGTGCATTCACTCTGATATGCTGAAAATTGAGAAAAAAATGAGGGAGTGCCAAGGAACATTTCATGGAATATTTTTGTTTATCACGCTCATGCTGTGGAACCAAAAGAGGGCAGCATGGCTGCACCACTGCTGACTGTGCCCTGGGAAAGCACTAGTTTAGAATAAAGATTTTCTTATGGATTTCTGTCTTTCTAAATGAGGAGGAATTTATTTTATTCTTACTGCTCTGTCTTTCCATGAATTTTGACTACACAAGGAATACTGTTCTTGATAAGCTGGTGGTTTTCAGATGTATCTCTAGTGCTTCTACCCTCTCTTGCTTTAGTTGCTGTAGTACATTTTCTTACAGGGAAGAGATCAGTGAAGCATCCATCTGATCATAGTATTTATTTTAAAACTGTTGTCTAGGGAAGTCCAGACATGTAAGACAGTGGTGTCTGACAGGTGGTCATACACCTCTCGTGTGAATCATCAGAAAACATATAAATCAGTAGGATTCTCCTCAGAATTTGTACTAAAGCATTTTGCCACTCTGTTAGGGAGTTGAAAGTTATTTTTCTCTTGATGTCTGGGAACCATTAGTCATGACTAAAGAGCCCTGTGAGGGTAGAGCCAATAACCATGCACAGTTAACTCTGCTCCAGCCTCAGACAAATGTAGGCATAGGACAAAGGTAGTGGAAGAACAGAGGAAAATGGTGAGGCCTGAGGAACATGGGGCAATTCTGGTTGGAGCAGGATCTCAGCACACATCATCCAGAGTGTAGCTTTCAACAGGTGTGATTGCCACATGCCCCTTGCCAGACGCCACTGCAGTCTGTACTGTATGCAGCACATAGCATAGAAAGGTCTGTAGAGTCCTTTAAAATGAAATTGCTATAAAAACATAAGTTCACTTTCAGCATTCCAGAGTAAACCAAGAAGGCATCAGCCCCAATTGTTGTTTGTCCTACAGGCAATCCTGTGTCAGCTGTCGTCACCTGCAATCTCTTTGTTGTTCCTGCACTGAGGAAAATGCAGGGTATCTTGGATCCTCGGCCCACCATCATCAAAGCCAGGGTAAGAAGCTTGTCCTCTACTTAAAAATTCTCTCAAGATGCTGAAGCACAGCTGTTTATGCTCTGAAAGACTGTTGTGTTTGTGGAATCTGAGCCCTAGATTAGTTCTGGCAATGGAAGGACTTTCACACAAACAGAGGTACATTCTCAGTCTCTGGTAATGGTAATATTCAGTCCCATAATTTTTTAGAGTTAGATGGCCATCTAATGGAGCAAGATATACGGATGCAGAGGCAGCCATTTGCCAATCAGGCAGGAAGGACACTCTCCTGTTTAAAAAAGACATTTGTTTTAGGCAGAGTAATTGCGAAAATCTAGAGTTGGATAGTTCTGTATCACCAATAGAAAATACAAACTTTAAAGCCTTTTTGTTGAGTTATCTATATAAGAAAACCACAAGACCTAAGCAATATAAATTCCTTAAACTCTTCTCACTTTTCTAATAAATCATGGATAGTGTAACTCTATTTAATATAGATTCAAGGCATGTTATTATAATTTCTTCTTCTTCTTCTTCTTCTGTTTTTGATTAAAATAAAGTACCAAGGAATACATCACCTTTTTCTTAGTGTTCTTGGCTATGCACTTTTCTCTTACAGTTTATCCCATGTCTCTCTTTTGCCCTTCCTCAAGCAACCAGATTTTATCTCACAGCCAAAATATTCTAAAAGAAAGAGCAATTTGCAATGACCTTCACTTTTGCATGTATTTTCCATTATGAGCCATTCCCTGTATGTCTTTTTTATTTCAAAGATCGGCCATTTTCCTTTTGTCAGAGCTAGCAGGATTTTGAATGTGAATAACATTTTTATCTTTATGCAATGTAATCCAAAGAGACCAGGCTTTTTTCTAGAGAAATACTATCTGTAAACTCTCAGTAAAGGAACAGCTTTGGAATATTCCACTTCATGCACATAGACTCCTTCAGACAGTTTGATATTGTAATATCACAGTTGTATTTCCTTAAATACTGCAGTCTCTGCCTTCTTCAGCTTTTAATCTTGCACTAGACACCATCTGACCTCAAAATGCAAGTTTTTGAAAAGACTGTTTCTAAGGAAGAACAATTGAGCAGATTATTCCATTATCTTAGACAGTGCAATGTGAATGCATGACATGTTCATCCTTTCTTTTTTAATCCTACAGTTATCATGTGATGTAAAATTGGACCCACGCCCAGAATATCATCGGTGCATTCTGACTTGGCATCACCAAGAACCACTACCTTGGGCACAGAGTACAGGTGAGTGCCAGTCACACAGACTGACAGACACTCACACACAGCCTTGCCTTCCTAAAGATGTGTCTGGGAACAACCAAGAGTGTGCACGTGTTTTTTTTCATAGACCCTTCTTTATGCGGACTGATTTGCTGACACACTTGTGTACGTGCATGCACTACATTAGTACAAAATTCAGTGCTGATATGGCTTGTCAGTTTAACCATTAGAACATCCTTTATTTTAATAACCTGCCTTAATACACACACACACTACACCTGTATGCTTGCGTATGTGCACACATTCCTTTTTATACACATCCACTAAGCTTACTTGCACTCAGGCACATTTGCTTCCTTTTGCTGATGTGCACATACTAAACAAACACAAGTTGTGGCAGAGATAGGAGCAATGCAAATAAAAGAAATGTGATTTAGCTGAACTGGGAAAGTAGCAAAGATAGCAGAGGCTCCAGATGTTCTCTTAAAGGAGACTAAGGATTTATTAGTCATGCTTGCCACCTAGGAATACTTCTGGATTCTCAGCTGCAGTTGAGGTAAGTAGTTGATTGGAATACTGGTTTAGCTGTGTACTGCTAGAAAGCTGACCATGACACTTTTGCAAGAGATTCAGGTCCTTAAACAACTAATTGTCATTTTTCTACATCTGAACTGTTCAACAAAAAGCACTATATATGAGTCTCCACACAGAAAATATTATTTCAGTTCTGGGCCCCTCAGTACAAGAAAGTCATTGAGGTGCTGGAGAATTTCCAGAGAAGGGCAGTGAACCTGGTGAAGAGTTTGGAGAGAGAGTTCTGTGAGGACCACCTGGAAGGAGGCTGTAGCCAGGTGGGGGCTGGCCTCTTCTCCCAGGCAACAAGTGACAGGACAAGAGGAAATGGACTCAAGCTGCACCACAGGAGGTTCAGGTTGGACATCAGGAAGAACTTCCTCTTGAAAGGGCTGAACATTGGAACAGGCTGCCAAGGGAAGTGGTAGAGTCACCATCAAACAACTGGACATGGCATTTAGTGCTATGGTTTAGTTGAAATGGTGGTATTCTGTCAAAGATTGGAGTTAATGATCTTGGAGGTTTTTCCCAACCTAAATTATTCTGTTCAAAGGGAATAAAGTTAATCAAATTTATTCTAGACCAGGATATATAAAACATTCTAGACTGTACTGATTTTTGTGCTTGTAAAATTGGAATAGGTGTACAAATTCAAAAATAAAGTAATTTTGATAGGATTAGCAATTTACTAGGTAAAGATACACAGTACAGATAATGTGGAAGGCTGGATAGGAAAGCAATCAGCAAAGAGAGTGACGGTTTTAAGAGCCAGCACAGTAGGAGGCTGAGTAAATCTCCACAGAGTTCTCTGTTTCCGTCCATCTTGGAACAGCAAGATCCCAACTCCATGAATAAGTTAGCCACATTAACATTTTCATCATAACAGCTTTTGTTTGTCGCACCGTGTTGCAGCATTTGGAACTGAAGACTCAACTGAAACTGTTCTGCCTCTCTCCTGTAGGGAATCAGATGAGCAGTCGTCTGATGAGTATGCGCAGTGCCAATGGACTGTTGATGCTACCTCCAAAGACAGAGCAGTATGTGGAGCTTCACAAGGGGGAGGTGGTGGATGTCATGGTCATCGGAAGGCTATGATGTCACCAGCAAGAGCGAAGCTTTGATGCATGTCCACATATCATTGACTGTATCCTGTAATATGCAACGGCACAGCTAGTTTTTCCGATTTGGATAAAAGTTGATCAGTATAGTCAACATCTTGAAATATATTTCAAATGGAATTTAAATAAATACCTTTTAAAAAAAAAAAAAAACAAACTTTAAAACAAATCTTAACAAAGAAATTTATTCTGATTATATCAAAGCAACTTTTTCCTTTTCTTGCAATTGCTTTGTGTGTTCAATGCTAGTTCTAATAGCGGTAGCTTTTAGTAGACAGCAGTAGGTGCCTGCAGAACTTGTGTTTTTTCTCATCTTTAAGATACAACTACTTACGCTCTTAAAACAAGGCTGTCTGCTTATTTATACTAGCGTAGACAACACTTGGATTTCCCTTATTAGTATGCTTCATAACCGCTTCACAGAGAGCTTCTGCTTGTTCTTTATCTTGTATCTCGTGTTGATGTGCACAGTGCCAAAAGCAGAGTGGCTGCACTGGGAACCCAATGAAGCCCCGAGGTTTTCTCGCCTCGCCGCGCATTCAGGGATGTCTCTTGTCCCGGCAGCCACCCAGCTCAGTACTCTTGGGCAGTAACTGGATACCTTTTATTTCAACAAACAAAAAAAATTGCTTCCTTAAGTGCTGACAGCCTTTTTAACCAATACATTTAAAAATGTACAGAACTAAAAACTAAAAAAAATCAAAGACTGATCTTGTACAGATATTAGTGTTACCAGCATTCGTGTGGAAATTAAATGAGCAAAGAAATAAAACTAATGTTAAACAACTCTGTACCATAACATTTTCTGTAATGATATTGAAACTTAAATGAATAAAAAAAATCCTCAATCATTATTTAAAATTTCACCTGTTCAGCCTTGTTGTTTGAAACAAAAAAGTAGTGATTTAAGAGGGTATTTGGGGTGGGGGAACAGCATAGGAAGGAAGAGAAATGGGATGTCCAACGTAGGGCCTTCCCTCATGTAGTGTCATGAGTGAAGTGAAACTACAGAGTGAGCTCTCTCTTACATCTCCCAAGGGACAAGACAGAAGCAGCACTTGGAGGTGGGTGGGGTTGCAGTCAGACTAATGAAAGCTGGAGAATACTATTTTTTCCCCATCTAAATTGCACAGCATTTGCAAACAGCTCTTGTGCTGCACTGTCTGGAATTTGATAAAGTGTTCTTTTTCTTTTTTTTTTTGTTTTTTTGTTTTTCCCCATGAGAGACTTTTCAGCTCCTGATTGTGTATTTTGGTAGCTACACATTTCATCTGGGATTAAGACCATAGCAGTACCTTACAACACCTAGTTTCTTGGACTTCATGGGTAAAATGCTATCCCACCAACTCCATTTGTGAAGCCAGAGCATTTATCTATAGTGTTTTTTTAAGACTTAGTCAGAGAGAACACAGAAAATTTGGTTTAAATTCTGATTGCCACAGTGGACCAGATCTGTAGTTCTATGATAACTGCAGAGGGCATCCCTCAGGCTGGTTTTAAAACCAAACTGTTTGCTGTGAACTTCTCTGCATGGGCCATTGCAAAGGTTGAAGGCAGGTAAGCATACACTGTGTTTGGAGGCAGTGCAGGGATTAATTGTTCAGAGAAACCCTAACACAACTTGCTGATCATATTTTTTTGTTCTGGATACATGTCCACATTTGTGATCTCTCTATGTGGCAGCAGGGTGGTACCAAATTAAGTTCATGGATACTTGTTTTGACTGTACTAATATTTTAAACCACAGAAAGAAGAGAGAGGTTAACTCATCTCTGAGAAATAAGGGGGAACACTGCCTGTTATAAGCCAAAGGATTGTTATAATGTAGTTAAGGGTTCTTAAAGGCAGCATGTGTAATGAAAATCAGAAGTTTATAAAGGACACCAATAACATAAAGACTCACTAGTAATCAAGTTCAATAGTTGTATTAAAGGCAGAGTCTACTCCTTGAGTACATGTATTTGATACATTTGGATATCAAACTTCATATTTCCTCTGAGGAAATAGAGGTGGGAGAGTGTGAAAATGTCAAATGAGGAGTCAGAGCCCAAATCAGGCTACATTATCAAGCAAAAGCTGGGGCTGACATTTAATGATCCTTATACTCTTACCTGATAGGGAACTAAGAATAAGAAGAGTAGATGTTGAACTGCTCAAGCACAAAATTTGCCAAAAACTTTCTTTTGCCTTAGCTGGCAAATCGAAACTAGTTTTTAGTGTCAGGGGAAAAAAAATCATTAAAATTGTCATTTTTGCTGGCACTTTCCAAACATTTTGGGTAGAGTTGTATCCCAAATAAATTCAGGAATATATTCCCAACCTAATATTCCTTCTGTGAGGGTATTTTATACGTTTCCCAAAAGTCCAGGTAAGAAACTCTTTGCTTGAATGCTTTGTATCTGCAGTAGTCTCCTTGATTCTAAAGCCAGCTAGTGTTACTCCCATGTAAAAGGTGAAACCTAAGGACTACAGGTTAGACATGGAAGAGCATTTCTGCATGTACTCAAAAAAAGCAGAGACTCCTCTAGGAGAGTCTAGTCTTGTCTAGGGAGACAATCAAAGTCACAACTATTGATGACAAAGGGTTTTTGTGGGCAGAACAGCTGTAGCAGCTGGTGGTCATTAGAGCAGCAATCTGTAGAACAAGGTATAGCTTCCCATAGCAATATTTGGTCCATAAGTTGCAATTAAATGCCTTATCCTCATGATGAACATGATCTCTAATAACTGTAACTTCATATTCCTAGTGCCAGCTGGTCTCAAGACACAAAGCTGTTTCTTCTGTGTTTTCTTACGGTTTTTTTTTGTTTGGTTGTTTGTTTTCTTTTAAACTTGGTGGTTGTTTTTTAGTAAATCTATCCCAGCCTCTACTCAGAGAGATGAGTTGTCATGCTGGATTTAAAGTCAGCATTGAAATGCAGGCAAATCTTGGGTAATTTGTGGGAAGAGCCTGCACATTTTGCAAATGTTACAAGCTCATGAGCTGCTGCTAGCTGCAGGTTTTCTGGAAGGGCTCAATGACTCATATTCAGCATTCAATTAAGACTTGCTCTGTGCATTTGTGCCATATTGCACACAAGCTGATAAAGTTACTGGAATATAGAGCCTTCAAAGGCGATGCACAGAGGCTCAGGCTCTCTAGTTTTAAACTGATCTGGGTCAGATGATTTGTTCCATCCCAGCACCATACAGCAATACTCACCATGCTCTGTCCCCATGCAAGGACTTCTGCATTTCCATGGACCAAATTTTAATGTTTAAGAATGCAAGCAACCAAGTAATTTTTGCTGAGTTAATTCACAAGCAAAACTGAAACCTTATTTCACACTACTGCAGATACTGTGGTATCTGAGCATACCACAGAAGACAAAGATATTAGCCTGATCTTGATAACCAGGGATTGAAAAATAAAGTTATTTCAAGAAAAGTATAAGATAAAATGAAAGGTAAGTATCTCTGTATAAAGATATGTACACATATATATTAGCATACAAAAAACTGCCCCACCAGACTAACAAGGAAGTATGCAAAATGTTTTTTTTCAGTGCCTGGCATTCTCATGCAGATTTTACTGTGGCCCAAGACAATATAACACCTTATTATGTGACTGACAAGAGCCTTTCCTATTTAGGTCTGTCTGTTACAGCAAAGTAACCAGTGACTTAATCATTTTGAAATGTTGTGCTGGTTGGACCACAAAGGGGGACCCAATTTTGGGACCATGTGCAGACCAGACAGCGGGCCAAGAAGTCAACATGGACACTTTCAAACACACCTCCCTACACTGTCAATGTCTGGTAAAAGCAGAAGCTTCTGTGGGACTACTTAAGAAACTGCTGAGAAGGAAACAACATAATGCCATCCTTGGATAAATCATCCTTGCACTGTGTGGCCTGTGCACTTTTAGATTTTTTATTTTTTTTTTCTGAATTGGCCCTGTGCAAAAAGCTGGCCAATAGTTCACACCTCCAGAGAAGTATAAATGCATGGCAATGAGATAACTATCCAGCTTCCAAATACTACCCCCACACAGTGTTTGTGGCAAAAAGTCCCACATTTTCACTGTGAAGCAGCATCTCCTCTGTTTTATTCTAAATTTGCCATCTCCTACCTCTGTTTGATGCTTCTTAGATTTTTTTTTGGAGCAAAGAGAAGTCACCCTCACTTTGCCACCCATAATTTTATAGATGGCTATCTTCTAAATTAAATGTCCTAATCTATGCAGTCTGCCCTTTGTGATCACAGACCATATCCAAGGGTCTGTAATTTGGATGATCTCTATCACAGATTCATGGAACCATCAAGGTTGGAAAGGGCCTTCAAAACCATCAAGTCCAACCACAAATGCAGCACTGTCACTGCCATCCCTAAACCACATCACCCATCCCCATTATTCCTCTTTTCACCCTCTTCAGGTTTATTATATTCTGTCAGAAACAAGGAGATCAGAACTGCATATTAAAGGTACCACCATCTCATTCATACTAATCACATCATGATGATTTATGTTTGTTCTCTATTTCCTAATAATTTTTGTTCTTCAGTACTTCTGACTGATATTTTTTTATGGATCTTAAAAATCTCATGCTTTATTGGTAATGTTCTTATTTTCTTAAAAGAGATAACCTTAAATTCTCATGCTTTATTGGTAGTATTTAACCCAGGAACAGTAATTATAATTACAGTTCAAGAAAATAATTTCCGCATATGAGTAACTTTTCTTTTATCTGTGTTAAATTTCCTTAGTTGTTTCAACTCACTTCCACTCAAATTTGAGCAATCTGTCTGCAGTTCTTGGTCCTGGAAAATGGGTATTTTCCTGGAATTTAGCTGCCTGCAGTTCAATCTGATAATGGAGACTGCGGTGATTACCTCCACTGAGGATCTGCTCTATGTCTTGTGGGAAGACCTGCTTTGGTGGCTTGACAGCTATGTTGTAATATTGGTACTTTACCTTATTATGCCTGATTTTTTTCTTGTGGTTTCTTGCCAGCTAGATTTCTTGCTGCTGCTGACAGCCTCTTCAGCTATGCTCATTTCAGGATGGTGTTGTACTGCTATGGGGAACTGCCAGATGACCAAGATCATCCTCATGTATTCATAGAGATGCTTCAGAGAAAAGAATTTGGCTTAATCTTTTCCTATAGCTTTCTTGTATTTGGATGAGGCTGCTGGAACAGGCTTGTTCATGGTGAAGGCGGAGATCAATCTCCTGGGATGTGGCTCTGCAGAGCTTTGTGGCTCGGGGCATGGGCTGCACTCAAGAGAATGAGCTCGGGGAATTGGGTAGGCGAGTGAACTGGAGCCAATGCTGATGACAACAGGTTGGTTATGGTGTACTGTGCTGCCTGCCAGGACTTTTGTGTCAGACCTAGGTAGCTATTCATCACTGAAGATATTGAATAATGACAATAAAAATGGCCTGAGAACTATTTACCTGCCAGTCTTAGGAGGGGAGAGGCACACATGCAGATGCAATGGTACTTGAGCCTATCTCACTAAAAGATAGCTGGCACGGTACATCCATGATTGACTTTCTGTAATTTACTCCCTAATGGCCAAATCCAATCAAATTGCCCAACGTGCTATGAAAAGCCAGAGAACAGAGAAGACAGGATTTAATGTGCTCTTGGCAGTCTGCGTTGCTAAGGAGTCATGCTGCAGCTTTCTCCATTAACTGGATTTTTTTCTAAGAGGTGGTGACTAGGGTTAGATTAAAACAAAAACCAAAACCAAAAAAAATCCACACACAAAAACTAACAGGGGAAAAAACCAAAACTAAAAACAAACAAAAAACAACCCCCTAACCAAAACAACAACAACAAAAGTCAGCCAAGAAAATAGGCCTTTGTTATGGGGTG